ACCCATCATTTCCATTATCATATTCTTTTTTGGAAGAAAAAAAAAACAAGTCTCACGAAGATTCAAATTCATACCATCAATGTCATTTACTCTTGTAAATATCAGATAACACCACATTCAAAAATTCTTTAATTTCTTATGGTCATGAAAATAATTACTTGTTCTTGTGTATGGCATTTTTTAATCTCATGCAGTCAATTTGGTTTTTTTTTTTCATTTCATTTATCAGCTAAGTGTATAATTAAATTTTCATGATCGCTGTGATAGAGTTTTGAATATTCATAATACATATGGTGGTGAAACAATTATTTGTGATTTAATTATTATTTAGATTGAGTTGAAACAATTTTGATTTTTAATCTTTAATGTATATTCTAGTTTTTTTTAATATTTGAATTTGAAGTTTGATAATAATGGTAATAAGTTTATGACTTTTGACTAATTATTTTAAATTAGTCCTAAACTCTTTTGGCTCCTAGGAATATATGTTTATTTTTAGGGGTCGAGCTACAAATTCAAACTCACTCAATTTAAGATATGATGGATATGTGAGTCATAAAAAATAAATAAATAAAATAAAAATGGATTCGAATTCATCAAGCATATTACTAGATCTTTTTGAGAATTTGACATTATATCAATATAAAATACTACAAATAATAAATGTTATACTATTTAAAAAAAAATAATACAACTGATGCTCTATAAAGATTCCATATTTAATTTGGTTTGATAGGCAGAATGCTATGTATTGCAAAAATACGATGTGATTAAAAATTAATTTTATTTTTTATTATAAAAACTAATTTCATTTTAGTTTTAGTTTTTTATTTTAATTTTGAAGTGGGAGGGAATGTAGGAGGTTTGATTAGGGTGGTTTAGTATTTTAAATTTCTTATTTTGGCATTTGGTCCTTTTATATAATTACAATTTTTATTGTCTTTCATAATAAATATCATTTTTTTTTAGGTCTTTCATTCAAATTTTCCCAAAAAAAAAAACAAAGAAAAAAGACAAATTATTAAAGCACTTTGTCGGCTGAACTTAATATAAGTTTTAAATTATTTTACTTAATAAATTACTAGAATAAAGTATATACTTTTCAACAAATAATAAATGTGTCACGCACATGATTGGAGCCTATCGTGGGGGTCAGTGAGTGGCACGATTTTATAAAGATGTACATGTGCACACAAACATGTGTCCTATAAATAAATACAACAGTTATAAAGTTATTTTAAAGTTGTATCAATATTATCAGCATATAATTAAAAGGGTTTGAAATAAATATTTTGCGGTACTTGTAGTTGGTGACAAAAATATTATAAAATTTCTAGGTTAAATATAAATAATAAGAATCGCCCACGTTCAATTAACTTTTATTTAATTGTGCATCACACACACACATAACTGCGGAAAACTAGCATTAAATTAACTCAGAAAATAGATTAGTCAGGGGAAAATCAACAAACTCAACAAAATACATGTCGGCTTGTATGATGTTTCTTTAATTATTTTGAAAATTTAAAAGCTTACATATGAGTGAGTATAGTTGACACGACTTTGTAATTTATTGGTGTGAAAACTCCTATATGAGGAGAGGTTACGTTAAAAAAAGTTACATATGCTAGTTATTGTTGTGTTTTTGTTCGTTTTCATTTCTTTTATCTTATATCTACAGTTAAGTAAGACTCATTGTAAACCCTATATGAATTTTAGATTGGACCATATTTTTTTTAAAAAAATAATAACAAGTATTCTACTATTAAAAGTAATTATATTTAAAATGCTGTTAAGTATTAAATGTAAATACTTCATTTAACATAAATTTAAATTTTGATACAGCACATAATGAGAGATGATTAAATTTTTATGTAACTATTTGACATTAGACAATCTCAACCCTCACTATGTGGTGTAATAATGGCCGTTCTCTGTTTGAATTCTCAATTTTATTCTAGACAGAAAAAAGTTGTTTAATTTGACCCTACTTACTCCCACTGATCAGTTTTAATAATAATAGTAAATATTGATTGATGGCGTAGAAAAAAAAAATATTGATTGCTGGCAGAGAGCCAAGAACATAGGTCTGAGACTTACTAGAGTTGAGTTTGGGATCTACATTTTAAAACAGCAATTTATTTTCCCGTTTTATGGTCAAAGACGCTCTGTCAGTCCATAATATGGTCACAGCTAAAATACCCAAGATGTGCAATTAGTTCCCATTTGGGTTGAAGTACATGTTGCTTGGTGATAACAATTGATCAACCAAGAAGTAGGGTGATCTTTTGTGCCAGGTAAAATCAAGTTTCAGTTCTTACTTCGTAGTGGAGAACCCTGTAGATATGATAGATATGGTGTTGTGCACTGTTTGATAGAGCCCATTGTTATATGGTCAAATAGGTCTCTTTTCTATCTTTATCAGTCTCCTCGCTTATTTCTCTAGCTTTTCGAGATTATCCATGTCCATTGCGAGTTGTGTCTCCTCTGATTGTCTTTACATATGACCTACCTTGAGTGTGTTGTATATCAGGATCTGGAATGACCTGAACAAAGAACAGATACGAATGCAGAAATCGACAAATATATATTGAAATCACCACGGAATATCAGTCTAATATTGTTCAGCAATTACAATGAACGGAAAACATAACACGCAGGAAAAATAACGGAAAAGTCCGTCCAGAGAGAAAAGACGCAAGATGAGAGAAGATTCTTCAAATCATGCACACCCACTCCTAACGTCCTGACACTGCCTTTATGCTGCTGTGCTATCCTCCAGCTCACGCAATTTCCACGTGCTCTTTCTCACCCGTGTAGTGCGCCTTGGAAGTGTTTGGGCTGAGCCCCCAGCATCTGATCTCGCATTATTTGGCCCGTTCGCATTTGGGCTACTGGTGTTCATAACATTACCCCCCTCTATAATTCGAACCTTGTCCTCAAGGTTCAAATCAGGATAAAGCTGTTGCAGATCAGAACCCCATTCCCACGAAGGTGACATAGAACTATCCCACTGGACTAGGTACTGTGGAGTCCATTGACCGTGGTGCTTAACCGATTGTGATTGGAGAACCTTCAATGGTTGACTAATAGGTCCTTCAGGCACGAATGTTAATGGGAGAGGCAGGTACGAATCATGATCAACAGTACCTTCAAACTTTTTGAGTAGGGAAACGTGAAATACCGGATGGATCCGCGACTGAGGAGGTAACAGTAGTCGATAAGCAACCTTGCCGATTCGTTCAGCTATTTCGAAGGGCCCAAAAAATTGTAAAGCAAGTTTCTAAAATTTGCGCAACTGAACAGAGTGTTGGCGATATGGCTGGAGTTTAACCAGGACCCAGTCACCCACAGAAAATTCAACCTCTCGTCTCTTTTTATCTGCGAAATGTTTCATACGAATCTGTGCCTTCTGTAAATTCACCTTGAGGACCCGTAACAGTTGGTCACGCTGTTCAAGCTGCTGATGGACATCATACGGTGTATCGTCAGTCGATGAATGATTTAGTAAAGGAGGAGGATCCCGACCGTAAACCACCTTAAAGGGTACCATTCCGATGGCCGTATGGAATGACGTGTTGTACCAAAATTCTGCCCATGGCAAATAAGCCAACTAGTTACGTGGATAGTCAAATACAAAGCACCGCAGATACATCTCTAAACACTTGTTGAGGACCTTAGATTGACCATCGGTCTGAGGATGATACGCTGAGCTCATGTTCAATTGCGTTCCCTGCAATTTCATCAGATGTCTCCAGAAAGCTGCCGTAAACGAACGATCCCGATCTGAAACAATGGAGCGTGGAATGCCGTGAAGTTTTACCACATTAGTAAGAAAACTCTCAGCAACGGTTTGACTGGAATAATTAGCCGTTAATGGCATGAAATGGGCATATTTGGAGAGACGGTCGATAACCACCAAAATGACAGAGTATCCACGTACCACTGGTAATCCAGTCACAAAATCCATGGCGATGTCTTCCTAGATATTATTCGGAATGGGAAGTGGGTTGAGTAATCCGGCAGGATGTAGTTGGGAAGCCTTAGCTTGTTGGCACACCAAGCATTGCCGAATAAACATTTTGATATCTTTCCTCATCTGAGGCCAGAAAAACAGAGCAGCAATACGATGAAACGTACGCAAGAACCCTGCATGCCCTCCCACTTTGGATGAGTGGAATTCTTGTAATATCTGGTTGATCACATCGGGCAAATCCGGTGGAATCACAAGACGATTCTTCCAATACAACTCCTGATGTTTCAACTGATAGTGAGGTAATGCGTCAGCTTGCCGCGAAAGCCGCGACTTCAAGTCGGATACCCAAGCGGACTTCGGCAACTGGCTCCGAATTGAATCCAACAAAGTGTGTTCCAATTGCGAGATCGCAAAGCAAGTACGTCGGGATAACGCATCTGCAGCTTGATTCGCGCACCCAGGCTTGTATTCAATACTAAATTGATAGCCTAATAACTTCGGTAGACTGAGTTCTTGTTCTGGGGTTTGAATTGTTTGCTCGGTGAGATGTTTCAAGCTCGCGTGATCTGTGCGAATGATAAAGTGCCGACCAAACAGATAATGACGAAATTTAGCAACTGCCTCTGTGATTGCATATAATTCTCGGACATACGCTGATTGTTTTTGCATTCGAGGAGACAGTTTCTTAGAAAAGAAAGCCACAGGATGATCATCTTGACTTAAGACTGCTCCAATCCCAGCACCAGATGCATCAGTCTCTAACAAAAACACCTTGGTAAAATTCGGCAAGGCAAGGACTGGTGCAGTCGTAAGGGCGCGCTTTAGCTCATCGAATGCATGCTGGGCCTCATTGGACCAAGTAAACGCATCAGTCTTCAGCAAATCTGTTAATGGGCCAGCAATCCTGGCATAATGCTGGACAAACTTGCGGTAATAACCGCTGAGACCCAAAAATCCTCTCAATTGCCGGATGTTTGCAGGAGGAGGCCAGTTCTGTACCGCCCTGATTTTTGACTCATCCATTTCAACCCCTACCTGTGAAATTATATGCCCCAAATATTCTATCTATCCGACGGCGCCCGAAGGAACACTTGCTCATCTTAGCGAATAACCGGTTTTGAGCTAGAGACTGCAAGACTAACTCTACATGTCGTAAATGCGATTCCCAAGAGTCACTATAAATGAGTATATCATCAAAAAAAATCAGAACAAATCGACGGAGGAATGGTCGGAATATAGTGTTCATCAATGCCTGAAAGGTGGCCGGTGCATTGGTTAAACCGAATGGCATGACCAACCATTCGTAGAGGCCGAGGTGAGTTCTAAACGCCGTTTTCTCTCTGTCAGTTGCTTTCATCAGAATTTGGTGATACCCAGACCGTAGATCCAGCTTGGAATAAAAATTTGACCCATGGAGTTCATCCAATAATTCGTCGACTGTAGGCATAGGGAAGGCATCCTTCACTGTGACTGAGTTTAGTGCACGGTAGTCAACACAGAAACGCCAAGTGCCATCTTTCTTTTTGACCAGTATGACCGGTGCTGAGAACGGGCTGACGCTCGGTTGAATTAGTCCTTCAGATAGTAATTCATCAACCATCCTCTCAATCTCATCTTTCTGGCTCACTGGATATCGGTATGGTCTCACTTTTACAGGGCCAGTTCCAGGGAGTAAATCGATGCTATGCTCACGGCTTCGTTCAGGTGGGAGACCATGCGGAACTGCAAATACATCGCTATATTTTGCTATTACCTCCTTCATGTCACTGGGTATTGTTTCCAGAGGAGGTTCATCCATTATCGGGTGTAGCATGTACAATTCTGCAATGGCTTCTGTATTAGTTAATCTAATCAAATGATGACATTGGGCTTGGTTCGCAACGGGCCCTCTGTATCCTTTCAACGTAATGAACTGATCCCCCAGTAGAAATTTGATTGTGGAAGTACTATAGTCTGCCACATGTGGGCCCAATGTCTCTAACCAATCTGCACCAATTACCATGTCAACTCCGGCCACAGGAAGAACAAAACAGGACATGTGTAAAATATGCCCATTGATTTGAACAGGGGTGTCATTCACCAATTCAGAGCTAGTCAAAATGCGTCCGGTTCCTCCCAGAACTTTAACTTCCGGTGTCAGTTCTACTGGAATTTTTAAATGACGCACAATCCTGGGGTGTAAGAAATTGTCCGAACTCCCCCCATCCAACAGAATCTGCACTTTTGTTCCCTCAATTTCTCCATTAAACCGGATGGTGGCTGGCCCCTGTGTGCCTCTCAGTGCATGGAGAGATAAATGGTGTATCGTCATCTCTGGTTCTTTTAACTCGACCTCTTCTATGCCGGGAACGTCCTCGTCATCGTCATGAAGAAGCATCATCAACTGTCTATTGGGGCACCGATGAGCTGGCGAGAATTTGGCGTCACAGGTGTAGCAAAGGCCCTTCTCGCGTCTAACCTGCATCTCCGCCGCGGTCATCCTTTTAATGGGCGGTATATTCGGTTTAGGCAATAACGGCGGTAGGTTAGCTTTACTTCCACTAGTCTGTGAAGTGGCAGCGTTGGTATGGGGCCCTGAATACGGTATTATGGCCTTCGGAGACATCATGGTGCCTGTCGAGGTGTGGGGCCGCGATTTTGACTCGGTCGCTGGAACAGAAATCCCTGAGCCGGTGGCATCTGCGAATAATCGTGCTAAAGCCATAGCACTTAGCACATTCGTAGGACGTTGGACTAACACATTCCTCTTCAGGTCTGGATTTAAACCACCCAAATAGCAGTCTAGCAACGCTGCCTCCGGTATGTCTTCAGTTCGGTTAGCCAACGTCATGAACTTGGAGTTATACGCCTCCAGTACACCGCTAACCTCTGCTTGAGTGAGCTTAAATAACTGTGATCTGGCACAGTCAAACTTAGATGGTCCATACTGTAGCTCGATTGCCTTCACCAATGCTGCCCAATCGGGCACTCGTCCAGCCTTTTCTAACATTTGGTACCACGGAAGAACGTCACCATCCATATGAACAGAGGCGATCACCAGGCGTTGTGGGTCCGGTACACCAAAGTATTTAAAATACTGTTCAGCTCTATATATCCAGTTCAGTGCGTCATGGCCATCAAACCTCGGGAAATCCAACTTCAGCGTCTTATGGTACGGTGTGTTGTAGTTTCCGGTTTGTTCTGACGTCCCCGAGAAAGAGACTTCTGGTATCGCTTCAGGACGCGTCGATAGACCAGACACCGCCCTAACTACCGACTGCAGCATCGCCTCCAATTGATTGAAGCGTCCTTCTATTTGATCAAATCTCGCATCAGTTTGGTCGAACCGTTCCTCTATACGATCAAGTCGCCCCTTGGTACTCTCTGTAAAGTCGTTCATCTTTTTCATATCATTCTGCAGTTCCTTCATACGTGTGTTATCGGCCATTCCGTACGCTGCCAAATCCTCTCAACGAAAGCACCAAAATGGAATGACCTGAACAAAGAACAGATACGAATGCAGAAATCGACAAATATATATTGAAATCACCACGGAATATCAGTCTAATATTGTTCAGCAATTACAATGAACGGAAAACATAACACGCAGGAAAAATAACGGAAAAGTCCGTCCAGAGAGAAAAGACGCAAGATGAGAGAAGATTCTTCAAATCATGCACACCCACTCCTAACGTCCTGACACTGCCTTTATGCTGCTGTGCTATCCTCCAGCTCACGCAATTTCCACATGCTCTTTCTCACCCGTGTAGTGCGCCTTGGAAGTGTTTGGGCTGAGCCCCTAGCATCTGATCTCGCATTATTTGGCCCATCCGCATTTGGGCTACTGGTGTTCATAACAGGATCTCAAACTCCAGATAATTGTTGGGAGCAGTTTCGCCTCTCAGCTACTCATCCCTAGGCCTTTCAATTATCTTACCTATTAATCATCCTTCATGATCAAAGTTCTCTCACTATTGGAGTTCGATTTAGACAATTGCGAGACTGTATCTGAATTTTTTGATAGGCAACAAGTATATCTAGCTAACATAAACCCGCGAGGAAGCTCAGCAAAATTTGAAGAAAATCTTGTTCTTAAGAATATGATCTATGGTTTGTCCACTAGAGTAGCAAAATTTCAATTCTTATTCATAGTGAAAGATTTGTTTGCATAAAATTGTTTAATGCATTATTAACAACTCATTTTATCGTATTTGTCGTTGTCTTAAATAATTTTTTAGCCCATTTTTGGGAGGAGGAGGTCTTCATACTTGTACTACATACCAGTAGGAAAGAAACACACGGTAATTAAAGATGCAAATCTAATAAAAATAAACAAACAACACGATAAATATCATATACTTTTTTTTTTTACTAAAGCATAGGTATCCTCCTATTAGAGGTAATCCTATTCGAGACACTATCGGGCACTAAATGTGAGTATCTTTCCCAGGGATGATTCGAACTTTGGTTCGCCATGTTGTGAGGGACTAACTCTTTCTGCTAGATCCAATCCGCATTGGTGATAAATATCATATACTTAATTTCTTTATATTTAGTTCCTCGTGATGACCCCAAGGACCCAAAGAATTGTTCTGACCAAGAACGAAGTCCCACATCGAAATCCAATAGAACATTCAGCAGTCTTTCGTTATTTTGGGCCTTCCCAAAGATTTTGAGTCTGAAGGTGGGAGCACCTATATATGATCCTTCGCATAAACTTAGATTGATTTCGTATTGCAATATCCTATCAAGTCAACCAAATAATGATCTTATCAAGTCTTGATCTTCCTTATTTAAGGTCGTCTTGTGATTTCAGGCTCATATTTCAATGGCCTTGAAAGGCTTGAAGCCTCATTGGAAGGCAAAAGCGTCGTGTTTGAGGGCTAAAACAAACACATTCTCGAGGCAATTCCAATATGGCAACAAGGTAACAGCAACCAACTTAAGTGAGATTGCTCCAATACGAAAAATGACAAAAGATCGCGAACGCATGTACTAAAACTAACAATGCAAGTAATTTGGAGTTTTTTAATATTTACCAATAATTAAGAACTATTCCAATAAATAAACAATGAATAAAAACAAATTCGACTCTAGGAATTGGAAAAAAGAAAAAGGGAGTAATACAATATTAAGAACTTCGCTTCTCGGACTCAACCCTGCTCACAATCTAGATGAGTAGTTTACATGGTTGTCACAAAAGAAAATTACTAACAAACAAAATACCCCTCAATAGGGAAGCCAAAATCACTTGGTTTAAAATAAAAATTGTAGGACAAATATTGCAATAGGGGGGGAAAAAAGCACGATTCAAGACATGATATAGTGACATTCTCCTTCCTATCTTTAAGAACTTGTAAATACTATAAACGATCCCGGCGAGCAAAGATGTTGGGAAACATTTTCTTTTTAGTGGCCAAAATCCCCCGTCAAACCAGATTTTCTTCCCTATTTACCGCATTTAGACATCATTAAAAAGAACCTATATGTAAACTGAGAGATCATGGGTCATTTGTACAGTCAAATCCGTGGCAAACAGATAGCCAGATAACAAAGACTAAAAACAACAAAATTCCGAGAACAACCAACTTGATTTTCATGTTCTGACACCACATCTTCCGACGGATCTGTGTTCCTTGCTTTCTGAACTCTTGGGCCTGAAAATAAACACACACATGGCTCTCAGTCTTAGTAGAAAACACATGAGTTGAAAGGTTAGCTCTCAAACCATAGTCAACTAACCTGTGACTTCAATGTTTCTGTCTTGTCCGCAAGAATGGTTAGATTTTCTCCTCTGTCAATAGCCTGAAAGGATGTTCCATGAAAATAAAGATCACATCGTAATACAAACAAGCATCCAACCATAATGAAACTTCAAATATTGCATCCCAATAGAAAATGGGGAACATGTGAAAAACATTGATCCATGCAAAGAAACTTCATGATGACACAAATTCGCAAGTGTGACAAGGATCACAAGAAGCTTAATTCATTGGCTACAGGAAGAGTTATTGATCTTCCATTACAAGTTGTCCCCAGTAATAGTGGCAGGACGGAGAACAATTAAGCATAGATATGTATCGCTTTACCGACCACTGTCATTACTGCAAGGAAGTAAAATATGGCCAGCAGAAAGATGGAGTTTTCACAGAAAGGAAGTCCAGTGACTAATATAGCAACTCAAGGAACTAAAACTCTCCCCACCTCAAAACCTTTCTGTACAAGGAAATGAATAAAGTATAGAATTATTATCATATTTTACACCTGAAAAGTTAAGGTACCTTGTCCATGTTCTCCAACATTATACTTTTAACTTCTGAAACTTGAGCCTTCACTTTTATTAGCTTTTCAATCTCCTCTGCGTGGTCTATGATATACTTCATATGCTCTTTCATAACAGGTCTGCAATTGCACATTCATTCACGATATTATTCATCTTTGGAAACAAACTTTTCTAGCCCTGCATTAGGATATGAACGAAGGGCTTAGGAAGAAGTGAGGATACTCAAACTCCTTGTTGAGACTTTTGCCAACAGCTGTATCTGCTTTTCCACCACCATCTCTTTTCTTAAAGTCTGCTCTGACACGTTCTAGAAAAGCAATAGAGATCTGCTTGCTAACAGATTCCTTTGCAACAACACAGTAAGCTGCAAGAATCCCAGTTTATGTAGTAAAGCAGAAGTTGTCATTGTGTGCAACTTAATGATGAAGTAAATCTAGAGTTTCAGCAATATGGCAAAATATCCAAAAAAGTCAAAATGTAACTTGTGGAGGTTATGGAAGTGGCAGTAATAGGTGCTAACAAAGTAAGGCTCCAACTCTTAGAGATGACAATCTGTGTTTGTCATCGTGCAACCATGAAAGTGGCCATGCATTTTTACTGCTCCCTAAACCAGTGCCAAAAGCATCTCAAGTTCTCAACGGTAAGTTTTATCACGACTCTAGTCAACTCTAGTCTCAAAGATAAATCTTGTTTGAAGACTTATTGTAGCATAAGTTTCTATACGGGGATAGACGAAATGATTTATGTCCTACCAAGATATCTGATATCTCAAGATTTAAGGGCAGCAAAGGATAACATTGAAGTGAAGCAATACCATGGGTTTGTACAAGGATGCTGTGGCAAAATACTGAATATCTCTCAAACCAGCTATTTCTAGCAATGTTCATCCACTGCCATGTAAATGGCCCAAAGGGACAGAAAGAAATGAAGCACAATACTAGGCACTTCATATAAATTCATTCATATATACTACTGCGGATTCTCTAGCAAGGTCCGCTCACAGCGCACAAGAGACGTTTAACCTCTACCATCAACAACCACCCTTGGTACAATAGGTGGGGGCTGATGAAAGGAGTTACGTAGCTAGGCAATGTACTTTTTTGGTTTATGTGGATAAGTAGAATGCAGAGTTTTCATTAAAAATAAAAAGTCTAGCTCCCTCTTCAAAGAATAAAACTTAAATCAATTAAACAGAGTCATTGTAACGTCTTCTCCCGTCACATGTAACTATGGGCTTGTTTGGATTGACTTATGAGTAACTTTTTAAATATGAGTTACCAAAAACGAGGTAAATATATGAGGAGAGTTTTGTCTCGACTTATATTAACTTGTTTAAAAGTCTGTTTTGAACAAATCTCTAAACAAGTCCAACAATGTCCATGCCGCCACAAACCTTAGATCTGTTCAAAGGAAGGAACAGAAATTATTTTTCCTAAATAATCAAATATCAAAATATTTATTTGTCTTTTTTATTACATATATAGGTATATATTTTGGAGACAGATTATGTGTGTGTACATATATACATGGACGCGGCTCCTCTCCTTTTCCCTTACCATCCGCTGCCCTCCTTTACCTTTGATACTTGCGCCGTTTTGAGTGAAAGCAAGGGAGGGTGAAGGCTTTTTTTTTTTTTTTTTAATTCAAAAAAATATCTAATACCTTAAAATATTTATTTCAGTGTCATTTCCTATCCTAAATTAATTGTTAATACACTCAACAAGGTAAAATAATTTTTTAGTAGCACCTAATATTTAACACCCAGCATTCGAAGATATTTCTTAACAGCACTTAGTATTGTAAAATAATTTTTGGTCCACTTAGAAGGCTAAAATATTTTTTTTCAATAACACCTATGCAACAATGCAACATCCAACATGCTACGGTATTCTTTTAGTAGTACCAAGTAGCTTGTGCTAAATTTTAGTTACCATAAAATAATATGACAAATTACTTCAAGATACTAAAAGTTATTAAAAAATATTTTTGGGTGTTGGATATATTAAAAATTAATTTCTGATATTGAGTGTTATTAGAGAAATACCTTGACATGATGGGTATTACTAAAAAAAAATTTAGGATACTGGATGCTATTAAAAAATATTTTAGAACACTGAGAGTTAGATATTAAATACTATTAGAAAAATATTTTAGAGTGGTAAGTGTATTAAGAATTTATTTAGGATACTTGATAATACTAAAAATATATTTTAGAGTACTGATTTTTTTTTAATAGAAAAGCACTCATTCTCTCGTTTTTCACTCAAAACGCCGCGGCTTTGAGGGTAGAGGAGGGCAGCGGATGGTAAGGGAAAAGGAGAGGAGCCGCGTCCCATATATACATCTATATACTGCGTCACTTTCCAGCCGACCGCCGACCGTGGGAGAGATTTCCTCCTACCTCCTTCGTGCGTTTTTTAGGGTTTGGGCTTGAACTCTGAAGAGCTAAACAGTTCGGCAGAAGAGGAGCGTTTTCGTAGGCGGAGATGAGACCGTTGGACGAGGCTGAGACAACTGCAGTGTTCGAAAAGCTCTTCAAATTCGTCGGAAACAACCTCAGGAGCATCGTTGAAAATCCCTCCCATGAAGGTCCCGATTCCAACGCTGGCCGCTATTGCTTCCGCCTCAACAAGAACAAAGTCTACTACGCCAGCGAATCCGTCGTCAAGCGCGCCACCAACATAGCCCGACCCAACCTCGTTTCTCTCGGCACTTGCATCGGCAAATATACTCACGGAGGTAATTTTCATCTCACAGTTCAGGCTCTGAACTTGTTGGCTGCTAATGCTAGGCACAAGGTCTGGCTGAAACCCCAGTCTGAGATGTCTTTCTTGTACGGGAATCATGTTTTGAAGAGTGCCTTGGGAAGGATTACAGAGAGCATTTCGCCTGGTGATGGGGTTGTGGTGTTTTCCATGTCCGATGTGCCCCTGGGTTTTGGCGTGGCTGCTAAGTCCACTCAGGATTGCAGGAAATTGGACCCTAATGGTATTGTGGTGCTTCACCAGGCGGATATTGGTGAGTATCTGAGGACGGAGGACGAGCTTTGAAGTATCTGAGGATGGAGCGACGGAGGACGAGCTTTGAAGTATCTGAGGATGGAGGACGAGCTTCGAACTATCTGAGGATGGAGGACGAGTTTTTTTATTTTTTTGGCAATAGTGTTGGTGTTAGAAAGAGGGGGATAACTCTTATAATTTTTGTGAGTGTCTTATCCAATTCGGGTCATTGTGAGATTTTGATTCAACTAGGAACTTGTGTATTACACTGAGAACTCTGTTTTGCAGTGACTATAACTCTATTTATTCATCTTCCTCTGGACTACGTTAGTGCCTGCAATGTTATTTTACTTGTATGAATTCAGTTACTTGTCTTTCCTATGTGAAGGATTTTTGAAATTATTATGCTTTCTACATCTACATTGTACATTGAAAACCCCTGAATGTTTCTGCTCCTCAAGGGCAAGGAAGCCGATGCATCAGAGGACTTTCAATGTAAATGGAATGGCTCTCTCTGACCAGCATCTAAGTAAGAAATAATCTACAAACTTTTAGTTAAGTTCTGTTGCTTTGCTTTTCTTTGATACTAGTTTTAAAGTTGAGAGTTCTGTTTTTCGAACATTGGTTCACAAATCATTACTCAGTGCATGAAGTAGATAAAACTGAAGCCTTATAAGTAACAGGTCACGTTAGAAAAAATTGCCTATGCTACTTATTGTTGTGTTTTTGTTTGTTTTCATATCTTTTATCTTGTATCTATTGTTAAGTAAGATTGTAAATCCTATATGAATTTTAGATTGGACCATATTTTTTTAAATAACAATAAGTATTCTCCTATAAAAACAATTATATTTAAAGTACTGTTAAGTGCTAAATATAAATATCTCGTTTAACATAAATTTAAATTTTGATCACTACATTATAAGGAATGATTAGATATATGTTGTTCGTTTATTTTGTGTCTTTTGTAGTTGCTCCATGTTTGTCATCCTGGCCCACGCGGCTAGTCTCGTAACCTTCTTGGGTTTCTTTGTGTTAACATTTTACATCTAATAAAATTTGCCCTTCATGGGAAAAATGTGTTTTATTACAATAAAAAAACATTACTAAATTATGTTTTTATTTGATGAAATGGTTTTACGCAGTAGATTTTGAATATACTAAATTATGTTTAGTTTGAGGAGGCTCGTTTGGTTAAACAGAAGGAAAAATCACAAAAAAAAATCCTAAAAATTGAAAATTTGCACAAAGGTACCCGTTTATAAAAATTATTGTCAAAACCCATACTATTGTTGTCAAAATCCATACTAATATTGTAATAGGTCTTTATTTACAACCTTTTTAATTTCAACGGTCTTTTTTTTGTGATTTTTCCTAAATATAATGGAGAGCAGGAGAGTCCCTTCCCTCAATGAATGGGATAATTTTGATAAGGTCAAATCATAACCATCTGCTTACAATTCAAATCGTATTACTATTGCTTGCTGCCTATTGCATACAATTTGGTCAGAAAAGAAATGCCTATAGATATTGAAGGATTTGGCTATCCACCCACATTTAAACACAGTTATTTTCTTATTAGAGGCAATGCTATAAGAGTAATTATCGGATACTAAATGTGGGTACTTCTCCTCATGAGAATTCGAACCTTAGGTTAGTAGGTCGTCACATTGTAAGAAATTAACTCTTTTTACTAGATCTAATATGTATTGGGATACTTGTGATAGTTACTAAATAGTTTAATTCAATAAATTAATTTTTTCCCTTTATTTTGACAATAAATAAAAAGCGTCTCAAGTCTCATCTTTTTGTTTAAATGGGCTTGACTCCAAATCCACTAAGAATAGACCAGGGATAACCCAATAAATAATAAATATGATAATATGATAACAAGAAGAAGCATTCAAATATCATGGACAAGTAACTATGCAGACTCCATGTTGCAATCTCCCAAGTCTACTTTTCTTATAATTAGAGACCAAAGACAGGATGAAATTAACTAAGCCATCGTTATATACTAATTTCTTCTCTTTGCCTTAGTGTTGGATTTTATGAAACTCAAAAAGTATTGTGATTTCATAAAGATATAGCCTTTTTTTTTTTTTTGAAGATATAGACATTCTAAATGGTGATTGAAGATGTGATTTCATGAACAAAATTAGGCTGTTCACCTAACACTGCCGTTGAGATTATAAGTATTAGGAAATGTTTGAATCTATGTTGGGATCAATGTTGCAAAAAGATTAGGATGCGTTTTGTTATTCTAATGTTAAGAAGATCAGAGTATCTTCTTACTCTATGGAGTTCATGGAGGTTAACCGCATTGAAAACAACTATATGTTCAATTGATTCAATGACTGTTTAAACTGAGGATGGGATCCAACTTATTTTAACTTTTAAAAATTCGTTGTAACTTTTAACATTACAAATCACGATGTATTTTTAAATTGTAATACTCCCTTTGGTTCTAAATATAAGACCCAGTTTATAGTATAAATTATACTATAAAATAGGTCTTATATTTAGGACCAAAAGAGTAGGATTTAAAACTATAATGTAAGCATAGTTAAGAGAAACTCACTTGAGAAAATCAAGGACATATAGAATTAATAATTTATCAGACTCTATCCTTTCCAATGCACCAAATTGACCCTTAACTTATAGAGAAAAAATAAAGAAAAAAAATTAAATATCTTAAACATTAACCAAACTGAACTTACTACTCAAAACACAAGGTATAAAATTGCATTCTGCACAATTGATTAGGACTATTTGGTTCTACTATTTAATTCCAACCAAATCAAACTAAAACTTACAAATTTCTTAACCCTGCGGATGATAAACATTGTAATATTTGAATGCATGGTCGCGCAAAAAAGGATTACAAAGTAGAAAAACGTATCCCGAATACAAGGGAACTTAAACACAGTACCATGCGTATCAGGGAAGGCTACATACATATAGATATCTAACAATGAATTTAGCAAAACAATGAAATTATTGTTGTGTAATATGCTACGTTCACTAGCAAAATGTAAAGAAAATGAAATAAGGTAACTACTTTTTCCCCTGATCAGAACAAATAAAGTGACATTTACTTGAACATTCCCAAAGGGATTCCTCCTACTAAAATCTGTTGGCTCGAGAGCTAATTTCTGGGCGATCTCAGCCTGCAATTCAATCCAACTTGACCGAAGAGAATAAGTAATACACAAAAGAGAAGGAAGAGAGGAACCCGACAGTGCCTGTAGCCAACATGATAGCCACAACCATGAAGAGAGAGTATCCCAAGTACAGAGATGCAGAGACAGGGCCGCTCAAATTCTTGAGATCAAACACCAGATAGTTTATGGAGTACAGGAAGATGTATATGGCCACAGAACCAGAAGCAAAGAATGATTTCCACCACCATCTCCAATCTTCCACACACAGATGCATGTAAGTTAGAACCAAAGAGACCTCAGCACAGACCACCACAAGCAGAATCAAAACAACAAAGAGGAACCCAAAGACATAATAGACTCGACCCATCCAAATACTGGACATGATGAAGAAGAGCTCTATGAACAGCGTTCCAAATGGAAGGGTTCCTGCACCAAGGACTAGCAGCCATGAAGGGTACTTCTGTGCGGGAATTTCACGAGGAATTTGATTGGTTCGGACAGGATACTCAATGTGATTGGCCCTGGCACCAAAGTACCCTCCAACAAGAGTGAGGGGAACAGAAATGCAGAACCAGAGTAAAATCAGTATGACAAAGAGTGAAAACGGGATGGCTCCTGTGCTGTGACTTCCCCACAACAGAAAGTTCAAGGTTGTGAGGATCAAGAACGCAATACCAGGGAAGAAACAAGCCGCCCTCCATGCCACTGAAAACCAGCCCTTCTGATTGCCACAGCCAATTGTTCTCCAAAGGCGAACTGCCACATATCCAGCTGCGACACCAAGTATCATGTAGAAAAACAGCATACCAGTGATGAGTGTTCCACGAGAGGCTGGTGACATGAAACCGAGAGCTGCAAACATAATTGTCACCACAGCCATCCCAAGAATCTGAACCCCATCTCCAACCATTATACATAGTAATGAAGGGTTAGATGGAGCACGGAATACATCCCCCACAACAAGCTTCCAACCAGATAACTCTTCAGTCATCTCTGCTTGAGCCTCCTTGTCAAGCTCCTCATAACGGGTTAGATCACGACGAACAGTCCTCAAGAAGATCACAAGTACTATGCCAGCAAGGAAAGTGATCACCATAAGAGAATTGAGGATAGAGAACCAATGGACTTTTGATCCCTCCATCTTCAAGTAGGCATCCCATCTGGATGGCCATTTGATGTCACTCTCCTCAAAGGTGACCTCATAGGTGAAAGCCAGCGGCTGACCTTCTTTGATCTGCATTCCTACGGTGGATGGATCACATTTAATAGGTGATGGGTATTTCTCATACATTTTCAAGTTTCTAGCTGAATCAAAATTATGCATAACACTGCACGGTATCACCTCAAACCCAACAACCATGTATCCAGGCATTTCTGATTCCCCTTTACCATCCGTTGGGATCACTTCAACTGCATCACCAGTTCCCATCACCCGAGCCACATTGGATTCCTCGTACTTGTGGACAAGAACATTGAACTTGAGATGGTTAAACAGATAATATGCATCTTGAATCTTGACACCAACAGGGTACCCAGTCCATCGTAGAAGGTATCCATCTTTTTGTGTAAAGCGAATGGCGGGTAAATTATCAAGGATCAGATTAACCTGATACATCTCATCAATCCTCTCTTTAAGGATCTTGAACTGATCTGCGGACAATTTGTCGAACCGACACAAGAATATTTCCGACTCATTTGTGTACATCTTAAATCGGTATGGTGAGTTCTCGATCCGGTCGCCCATGAGTAGCTCGCCGAGATTCTCAGCACTGTCCTTAACACCGCCCGGAGGTTTGCAAAAGGGTAGGCTGTAATAGCTAAAGGGCATTTCTGTATCAATTGAGGTCAGAGAATTCACTTTCACCGACAACTCATCCCCAACCACGTACTTGTGGGGATAACTTCCCGGAAGATAGAACCCATATGCGGATTGAATTATCAAGCAAAATGCGAAGGCCCACAAGCTAAGTTGACAAGAGAAAACCATCTTTGGACGAATCATGGGAGCTTTGTGACAGATCTGAAATTCCCAGATGCCAAATGAATGAACAAATTCTTTTAAAACAAATCAAAGAAAACAAAAGGCACGGGCTCCAACTAGATTCTCAGGCCAGAGTAAATGAAGATGCAAAGCATTGAAACTAATAATGAAGACGGAATCAAAATATATAGCTGAAACATGAAACAAACAAGAGT